ATGCGAGCAAGTGCTTTAAATACTTGGAGATCTGCTCATGTGTAGAATGAAGAAGGCCCTGCTACACCACAGTCTCAGGAAAGTAGGCTGGGACACCCAGCAATAACACACACAGACCAGTTCCAGTTCATCAAGCTGGCCCTGGCTGAAAGTCTCATTGCCCAGGAGAAACCACAGCCGTAGCAGCTCTCCTCCCGCCCAAGGTCTGTGACTGGGGAAAGCACAATTCCAGTGCCTACTGTTGAGATGTTTTCCACGGTTCTGTCTGTGGAGGACCCTACCCTGATCCAGAGCAGGTGCTCCAGTCTCTGTCCCAATACTAAAATACCTGCATGGCCACGCTGCTGGGTTGCCAAAGAACGGCTAACTTTAGATGCACCCAAATTAAAAATGGTGTCCTGTTCTCTGTCCTGGGGCTGGGAAAACACCTGTAGCTTTTTCCAGTATCCGTCTCTGTCAGTGTCTCCAAGCCTCTCGCGAAGTTAGCTCCAGGATTTGAGAGAAACAAAGTGCTCTCTCTCAGCCTGCGTTGCTCAGATCCCCAGTGGAAACGTGAGTCACAGAGGGAAGCTTCTACCTCTCATGTGCTGGGACTTCATTCACTTTTCTCAGCTGGACAGCATTATGGTGGCTGTTTGCCAGCATTCTCCTCCTCGGGATCTGCAGTGTTCTTCACAATTCCAGTGGATCTCCGTTTTCCTTCTTGAATTAAAGCTCACAGAATTTATCTTTATGCACTGCCTTGCTATTTCCAAGCGACTGTGGCATGTTAAAAGCCTCTAATTGCCATCTTGAAAAAACAAATCTATCAACAATGTTTGATATGAGTTGGCCAATACTCAACTGAAAATAAGAAAAATTTTTATGTGCAAGGATAGTCTCTGAGGTTGAGCATTTTTGTTCAGTGATGAGTCATTTGAATTACCAACATGGTTAATGCTATAGAAATCTATGGAACCCATTTCTTTAAGAAATAGATTCATATCTTAATAAAGAACATCTTTTTTATTGTTCAATTGCCAAAACAACATGTTAGCCTATTACTGTAAGTAACCAGTTCAATCATAGCCATTTACATCATATAGTACCAAGTGGTATTTTTTTCAGAAAAAATGAACATGAGGAAGAAAACTCCTTGACTGGAAAAAAATTGATACATATAATCATTACAGAGCTGTATATGTATATAACACTAACTGTGAGATGAATGAAGAAAACTCTGAGATTCACTGTTGAGTAGCTTATAATTTCGAAGTCCTCTGCTAGACATGAAAACTATTTAGTGTTGAACAAAAATAGGATACTATATCTCACAACTCCTATATAAATGTTTCCATTCCTACTTTATTTCTGCTTTCATTTTCACGGCGCATCTACAGTCTCTCTTCCGGCCTCCCATTTGTATTTTACAACATGCATAATTACAGATTTATTCTTTAATTATCTCATTTTCATATGAGTTTTATATCTCTTGAAAGATTTCTTTGAAACTTCTGCTTTTTTTATTTTCCAGAGCAGCAGAGTATTTTTAGGCAATAATATTTTACCTTATTATGCCTTTCAATTATTAAAAGAAAAAGGGAAAGTAGTAAAATAAACAAATGTAGAGAGTCACCAACTTACAGTGGTTTCACTTAAGATTTTCAACTGTACAATAGTGGGAAAGTGATATGTATTCAGTAGAAACCATATTTCAAATACTCATGCTACCATTATCTTTTCATTTTCAGTACAGTATTCGGTAAATTACATAAAATATTCAACAGTTTTCTATAATACAGGCTTTGTGTAAGATTATTCTGCCCAACTGTAGGCTAATGTTAGTGTTCTGAGCATGGTTAAGGTGGGCTAGGATAAGCTATGATGTTTGGTAGGTTAGGTTTATTAAACATATGTTCAAGTCAGGTATAGGGGTGTGTGCCTAAAGACCCAGCTGCTCAGGAAACTGAGGCAGGAGGATTGTTTGAGCTCAAGGAGTTTGAGAATATAGTGCACTACGAGCACACCTGAGAATAGCCACTGCACTCCAGCCTGGGCAACATGACAAGAGTCTATATTTTTTTAAAAAAAGCATCAGCTTACAATATTATCAACTTCTGATGGGTTTATTGGAACATAATCCTATCATAAGTTGAAGAGTATCTTTATATAGTAGAATATAGTAACATACTACAGACTTGTTTCCTCAAAACATAAAGATAAACCACACTAATGATCATCCATGGGAGAGGGACACCCAGACAGTGTCCTGCAAAATGAGAAATACTTGTAGGCCATATTTCACATTCCTGACTGAGTCTCTTCCCCATGAAATAAAATCATTAAGAAATTTTTAGTAACATTTTAATTATTATATTTTAATTAAAAATTTAGGTATAGAAAGAAGATTGTATAGCTTTACATTAAAAATAAATTATTATGTGACTTGGCTACTTGACACCAACTAGCTTGTGTCAGATTCACCCTCCCACCATAAAAAACTATACAATCTGGACAAAATATAGAACAAAATTCTTGGCAGGTGCATTAGTCTGTTCTCATGCTGCTAATAAAGACATACCCAAGACTGGGTAATTTATAAAAGAAAGAAGTTTAGTGGACTCACAGTTCCACATGGCTGAGGAGACCTCACAATTATGATGGAAGGCAAAGGAAAAGCAAAGGCACATCTTACATGGCAGACAAGAGAGAGGACACATGCAGGGGAGCTCCCCTTTGTAAAACCATCAGATCTTGGGAGACTTATTCACTACCACAAGAACAGCACGGGAAAGACCCACCCCCATGATTCAATTACCTCTCACCAGGTCCTAAGCATGGTTCAGGTGGGCAGGCTACATGTGGGAATTATAGGAGCCACAATTCAAGATGGGATCTGGGTAGGGTCACAGCCAAACCATATCAGCAGGCACTGAAGAACATTGTTGCAGCAAGTCAGGTATGAGATCTTTAAGAAAGGTGAAGCACATGAGATTTGTACCACATTTGCCAGGATTTTCCAGAAAGGCACCTTCCTGACGTTGGTACAGGAAAATGCGACCCAACCAGGGGTTAGTGGTCTTGGGAACCAAAAGAAGCAATGAATAGAGTTCAAAGCTGCTAAATTGGTTTGGAATTGGGGGTCAATGTACCACATGGGAGAGAGAAAGAACCTAGAAATGGGTGTGTAGATGCCATTTTGGTCCTTCTGTGACTTCTTAGCTATGTGACAGCTGGTTAAGAAGAGAGGAGACCTAGTAGAAAACAACGGCTGGCATACAGAAAGCAGAAGAGATCATCAGGGACTGAAAATTTACTGGAAAGCTACTGGAGTTCAGATCCAGCCAGATGGAGAAATGTTGGTAAACAACTGAGAAACTCACTTGGACTCTAAAAATTATCTTAGGAGAGGTGCAGTATCCTAGGAGTGAGGCATATGTTCTAAGAGGAAAATAAAATATCATTACCATAATACAGCTTAAAACTATGTATGTCTTGAGAGCAGCAAGATGATCTACAAGTAATTACAACTTCTGCCCAGATAAAAAATTCAAAATTCTTGAGTATTTCAATATTATATTAGCCATAAATTCAGCATACTTTAAAAAAAATACCAAATATACAAAAAAGCAAGAAAAGAAGACTGATGAGAAATAAATCTGTTATTAAAAACAAATTCATAGAGAATCCAGATATTGGAGTTAATAGATAGAGCCTCATAATATCTATGATCAATATAAAGGAAAGAAAGAAAAAATGAAAGACAAAACAGGTTGTGTCAGATTTCTTTCTGGCAGCTCTGAAATGCTCACTTTATTTTCACAGAATCTAATTTCCTAAATTATGTTTGATGTTTCAAGCAAAAATCATAGCATTGCCTAGTGTTATTCTAAATGTATGTAAGACAATTATACTACAAATTTGAGAGGGCAAAGAGGCATAATATGACAGAGGGTTGCTATACTTCACTCAAACTGGAATACAGATGACACCCATTTAGTGTGATAATGTATATATAAAGGAATATATACTAAGCTATAAAATGCAACCTAAACAACTATAAAAAAGAAGACATGCTATAAATACTATCAATAACAAAATGGAATTCTAAAACAAATATTCAAATAACCTACAGGAAGTCATCAAAAATAAACAGACAAACAAGAATTGATATAGGAAAAAAAAAAGTCAGGCTTATGCGCTAAAATATCCATAATTAGATTAATTATGAATGGTCTACCAAGACACAGATACTAGAAGAGTGTATTTAAAAGAATGACTCTTTCGTATATATTTCTTGTATGCTGTGTACAAGAAACTCACTTGAAATTTACCAATACAGGGCAGGCCAAATTAAAAGGATGAAAAAAGATATATTACACAAACATTAATACAAGGAAAGCAAGAGTGTCTGTATGTATATCAGATAAAGCAAAGAAAATTACCAGAAACAGAGAGATTATATAATGATCAAAGGTTTAATCCATGAAGAAAACGGCGATTTTAAAAGGGTACTCACCAAACTTAACAGAGCTGCAAAATATGTGATGTGAAAAATGCCAGAAGTAAGGCGGGTCAGGCTGGGACCTGCGCTGCCTTAGGATGTAAAGTGTAACAAGGGGGCAGGGGGGATGAGGGGACACCAGCATGGGCCTGTGAGGCCTGTGCGGTGCCCGCGTTCCCAAGCTCCCCCTGCAGCTGGCTCCGCAGTGGTCCGCTCCCCTTGGTGGCCACGTGCGGATTCGGATTCCAGACCGAAGGCTGCGTGTTCTCCACCGCTTGTTGTGGCCAGTGTTACTGCGGAGACCCCAGAGCAGCCTCGGCGCTATGGAGGAGCCGGGCGCTACCCCTCAGCCCTATCTGGGGCTGGTCCTGGAGGAGCTACGCAGGGTTGTGGCAGCACTGCCTGAAAGTAGGAGACCATATTCAAATCCTCATGGTTTTCCATGGGAACTGGTGGTATGTGCAGCCGTTGTTGGATTTTTTGCTGTTCCCCTTTTTCTGTGGAGAGCTTTTAGATCCGTTAGGAGTCGGCTTTATGTGGGAAGAGAAAAACAACTTGCTGCAACGCTTTCTGGACTAATTGAAGAAAAATGTAAACTACTTGAAAAATTTAGCCTTATTCAAAAAGAGTACGAAGCCTATGAAGCAGAGTCGTCTTTAGAGGATGCCAGCTTTGAGAAGGTGGCAGCAGAAGCGCGAAGTTTGGAGGCAACCTGTGAAAAGCTGAACAGGTCCAATTCTGAACTTGAGGATGAAATCCTCTGTCTAGAAAAAGAGTTCAAAGAAGAGAAATCTAAACATTCTCAACAAGATGAATTGATGGCGGATATTTCAAAAAGGATACAGGCTCTAGAAGATGAGTCAAAATCCCTGAAATCGCAAACAGCTGAAGCCAAAATCATCTGCAAGATCTTTAACATGAGTGAAGAACGATGGGAGATAGCAATAAAAGATGCTTTGAATGAAAATTCTCAACTTCTGGAAAGCCAGAAGCGGCTTTTGCAAGAAGCTGAAGTATGGGAAGAACAAGTGAGTGAACTTAATAAACAGAAAATAACATTTGAAGACTCCAAAGCACACGCAGAACAAGTTCTAAATGATAAAGAAAATCACATTAAGACTCTGACTGGACGCTTGCTAAAGATGAAAGATCGGGCTGCTGTGCTTGGAGAGGACATAACGGATGATGATAACTGGGAATTAGAAGTGAACAGTGAATCGGAAAATGGTGCTTACTTAGATGATTCTCCAACAGGAGCTTTGAAGAAACTGATTCATGCTGCTAAGTTAAATGTTTCTTTGAAAACCTCGGAAGGAGAAAGAAACCACATTATTATTCAGTTATCTGAAGTTGACAAAACAAAGGAAGGGCTTACAGAGCATATTAAAAATCTTCAGACTCAACAAGCCTCTTTGCAGTCAGAAAACATGGATTTTGAAAGTGAGAATCAGAAGCTTCAACAAAAACTTAAAATAATGACTGAATTCCATCAAGAAAATGAAAGGAAACTCCACAGGAAATTGACCGTAGAGGAAAATTCCCGGATACAGGAAGAAGAGAAACTTTCTAAAGTGCAAAAAAAGATCAGCCATACCACTGAAGGGCTGGAGACCTATGGAAAGCTAGCCAAAGATCTTGAAGAAGAATTGAAGAGAACTATTAATTTTTATCAAAGGCAGGTTATTTCCTATGAGAAAAAAGGACATGATAACTGGTTGGCAGCTCAGACTGCTGAAAGAAACCTCAATGATTTAAGGAAAGAAAATGCTCACAACAGACAAAAATTAACTGAAACAGAGTTTAAATTTGAACTTTTACAAAAAGATCCTTGTGCACCTGATGTTTCAAATACAGCATTTGGCAGAGAGCATTCCCCATGTGGTCCCTCACCAGTGGGTCAGCCTTCATCTGAAAGGAGAGCTTTTCTCTCTCCTCAAACTGTGTTGGAGGGTCCACTGAGACCCTCTCCTGTGCTTCCGGAGGGAGAAGGAAGAGGCCCAAGAGGCCCAGGGAATCCTCTGTGCTTGGAGGATTACCATCAGATTACCAATGAAAGAGGAGAACCAGGCTGCGATACGTTAACCGATCCTCACAGGGCTCCTCCTGACACTGGGTCCCTGTCATCTCCGTGGGAACAGGACCGTAAGATGATGTTTCCTCCACCAGGACAATCATATCCTGATTCAGCGCTTCCTCCACAAAGGGAAGACAGATTTTATTCTAATTCTGATGGACTGTCTGGGCCAGCAGAACTCAGAAGTTTTAATACGCCTTCTTTGGATAAACTGGATGGGTCAATGCCTTCAGAAATGGAATCCAGTAGAAATGATGCCAAAGATCATCCTGGTAATTTAAATGTGCCTGATTCATCTCTCCCTGCTAAAAATGAAGCAACTGGTACCGGCTTTGTTCCTCCACCTCTGGCTCCAATCAGAGGTCCATTGTTTCCTGTGAATACAAGAGGCCCATTCATGAGAAGAGGACCTCCTTTCCCCCCACCTCCTCCAGGAACCATGTTTGGAGTGTCTCGAGGTTACTGTCCACCAAGGGATTTCCCAGGTCCACCATGTGCTCCATTTGCAGTGAGATACATCTATCCACCGAGGGGTTTTCCTCCTTACCTTCACCCAAGACCTGGATTTTACCCCAACCCCACATTCTGAAGGTAGAAGCGAGTTCCCTTCAGGGTTGATTCCACCTTCCAAGGAGCCTGCTACTGAACAACCAGAACCACAGCAAGAAACCTGACAATATTTTTGCTCTCTTCAAAAGTAATTTAGACTGATCTCATTTTCAGTTTAAGTAACGGCTGTTACTTAAGTGATTACACTTTTCTCAAATGGAAGTTTAAAGAATTATAGTTCTTAGTATAGTAGTTTGTAAATAAAGATGATTTAAATACAAATCTATGAGTAAATCATTTCCATTTTATTATTTCTAATCGTATAAATTTTAATCTCGGGAACTAATCCACTACTATAGAAACAACAGTGGGAGTTTTATATATGTAATCTCGCAGGTGGGGAGGCTTTAAATTCTAAAGGCTGTGTCTTCATGCCAAGAACTGTATTCACTGTGCTTGTAGATAAATGAGAAAGTAACTTTATGCTTAATTTAATACATTTTAGTTGATTTTTTAAAAAAAGAAAACTGCCAGAACTGAAAGGAGATATAGACGAATCCACAATTATAGTTAGAAACTTCCTCATGCCTTTTTCAATAATTGATAGAACTAGACAGAAAATCAGCAAGGAGTGTTGGCTTTGGCAGCACTTTCTAAAATTAGAATGATGCGGACAAGATTAACATGGCTCCTGCATATAGATTACACAAAATTTTGCGAGGCATTTCATATTTGTAAAAAGAGGGGAAAAATCAGCAAGAATATAAAACAACTCAAAATACCATTAACCAAAAGAATCTATTTGGCATTTACAGAATATGCCACACAACAGCAGAATACACGTATTTTTGCGAGTGCTGACAAAACACATGGCAAGATACAGATATCCCAGGCCCTAAAACTCGCCACAGCAAATTTAAGAGATAGTAATCATCCATAGCAGGTGAAAACCAGAAATCTTTGTAGGGAATCCAATTGGAAATCAGCATAAGAGAGATATGAAAAGTCTCAAACACTTGGAAATGTAAAAACACACTTCTAAATAATCTATTGGTCAAAGAAGAAGTCTCAAGGAAAATTTTAAAAATACATTGGACTGGATAAACATGAAACTGTGACATATCAAAGTGCTGAGAAGCAAACTTAGAGCAATAAATGCATGCATTAGGAAAGAGGAAAAGTCTCAAGTGAGCAATAGATTTCCGCCTCAGGAACTTACAAAGAGAAGAGCAGAATAAACTGAAAGCAAGTAGAGGGTGGGGATTAATGAAGATAAGAACAGAAAACACTTACATTTAAAAGAGAAAAACAATAGTTAAATCAATGAAACAAAGTGATAGCTCCATTAAGAGATTAATAAAATTTAGCAAACTCAAGCAGAAATTAAAAGGAAAAGACACAAATTTTAAATATCATAATGAAACAGGCGATATCATTACAGACACCACGCATCACAAAGGACAATCAAAGAATATTACAAACCACTCCACACACATAAATTAGACAATTTAGACAAAATGGACAAAATGCAGTGTTCCTGCTGCAACACAAACTAACTCAACTCACCATGCAGGAATAGACCATTTGAAGAACTCTATAACCATTAAGAAAATAGAATTCATAATTTTAAAACTACCAAAAAAGAAATCTCTGTGTTTAGATGGTTTCATTGGAGAATTCTGACGTGTTTTAAAAAAAGTAAACACCAATTCTACACTACCTTTTCCAGAAAACAGTAAAAGAACATTTCCCAATTTATATTTTGAAGCTATTATTACACTGATACCAAAACCAGGAGAGAGTGTGTGTGTATATATACATACACACATAGATACATATATATATATATAAAAGATGTGTTCAATTTACTTAACAAATAGACTTCTACACTATATTTTTCAAAATTGACCCACGTCCAGTGGGGGATTGTTTCCAGAAAAACAAGCCTGATTAAATCTCACAAAGTCAATCAAAATAATCCACCATGTTAACAAACAAAAGAAGGAAAGTTACATTATATCAGCTGATACATAATAAATATTTAACACATTTTGACATCCATTCATGATAAAAACACTCTATAAAGCGAGAATAGAGGAAACTTTATCCACTTGATAAAAAGCATCTACAAAAACCTAACATTATAGAGTCATGTGTTGTTTAACGATGCGGATACATTCTGAAAAATGTGCTGTCAAGTGATTTTGTCATTGTGGGAACATCCTATAGTGTTCTTACACAGATCTAGATGAGGTATATAGTAGCCACTATACACCTAGGCTATATGGAATAGCCCATCACTCCTAGGTGACAAACCTATACAGTGTATTACTGTACTGAATACTATAGGCTATTATAATACAGTTAAGTGTTACATTTATGGTAACAATTTGGTAAAACTCACCAACTATGGTATTTATGTATCTAAGCATATCTAAATACATAAAATGCAGAGTAAAAAAATATAACATGAAAGATTTTTTAAATGGTACATCTGTATATGGCATTTACCATAAATGGAGCTTACACAACTGGAAGTTGCCTGGGTGAGTGAGTGAGTGAGTGGTGAGTGAATATGAAGCCCTAGGACATTACCGTACGATACTGTAGACTTTATAAACACTGTACACTTAGGCTACACTGAATTCATTAAAACATTTTTCTTTCTTCAACAATAAATTAACCTTAGCTTACTATAACTTTTACTTTATAAACTTTTTAATTTTTAATCATAATTTGATTCTACTTTGTAATAACACCACGTAAAACACAAATATTAGGAGGCTGCACAAAAGGTTTTCTTTTTTTGTATCTTTATTCTACAGACATTTTTCTAGTTGTGAAATTTTTTATTTTAATTATTTACTTTTTAAAAATTTGTTATTGAAAACTACGACACAAATACACACATCAGCCTAAGTCTACCCAGTATCAAGATCATCTATATCAGTCTTCCACCTGCACATCTTGTCCCACTGAAAGGTCTTCACAGGTAAGAGCAAGCATGAAGATGTCGTCTCCTATGATAGCAATGCCTTCTTCTGGAATACCTCTTAATGGACTTGTCTGAGACTGTTTAGGAGTTCACATTTTTATAAGTAAAAGGAGTACACTCTAAAATAATGACAAAGGTCAGGCACAGTGGCTCATACCTGTAATCTCAGTACTTTGGGAGGCTGAGGTAGGCACATCATTTGCAGTCAGGAGTTCAAGAAAAGCCTGACCAAAAGAGTGAAACCCCATCTCTAACAAAAATATAAAAAATTGGCCAAGCATGGTGCTGCACACCTGTAATCTCACCTACTTGTGAGCTGAGACACAAGAATCACTTGAACCCAGGAGGCAGAGGTTGCAGTGAGCTGAGATTGCAACACTGCACTCCAGCCTGGGCAATACAGCAAGACTCCATCTCCAAAATAAAATAAAATAAAATAATGACAAAAAGTTGAGTAGAATGTTGTAAATGCATAGTAAAATGCATAGTTGTTTGCTTTTATATCACACTGGGAGTGCAGTAGGATTGTTTACAGCAGCAATCCCACAAACATGTAAGTAATGCATTGTGCTACAACATTATCATGACTAAGACATCACTTGGCAATATGAGTTTTTCACCCCCATTATAATCCTGTGGGACCGCTCTCATATATGTAGTCCATCACTGACCAAAGTGTTATGGAGGATATAGCTATACTAACATCATATTTAGTGATGAAAACCTGAATGGTTTCTCTCTAAAATCAAGAATAAAGGAACTATATCTGCTTTTGTCACCCTTATGCAAAACAGTGCTGGAAGTTACACACTGTGCAATAAGACAAGAAAATAAAGGACATACAGGTCAGCATGGAAAAAATAGGACAGTCCCTACTTACAACAGACATGATTGTCTACATAGAAATCCAAACAAATCTATTTTAGAAACCTCCTAAAATTAAGAAGTGAGTCCATTAAGGTCACAGAATTTAACATAAACACAATCAAATTAATTCTATTTCTATATACAGACATAACTCATTTTATCGTTCTGCAATTTATTGTGCTTCATAGATACTGCATTTCCATTGGGCTAAAATTTTGTGGCTAACCTGCCTCAGGCAAGTCTATCTGCACCATTTTTCCAACAGCATGTTCTCATTTTGTGTCCTAGGTCAAATTTTAATGATTTGTACAGTATTTAAAATTGGTTTGTTATTATTATGTCTGTTATGGTGATCTGTGATCAGTGATCTTTGATGTTACTATTGTAATTGTTTTAGGGCAGCATGAGCACGTCCAC